TCAGACTGCTCCAACTGATCAGACAGTCTATCATCACTCTTCCTCTTTTCCTTGGGTCTTACTATTCCATGAAGCACAAAAATATAAAAGTTAGGCCAATCTATAATCCTACAATGGCTTCTTAATGTTCAAAAAAAAAAAAAAGAGTTACATGTCTCTCACTTTAAATCAAAAGCTAGAAATGATTAAGCTTAGTGAGGAAGGCATGTCAAGAGTCAGGAATGGCTAAAAGTTAGGCCTTTTGTGCCAAACAGCCAAGTTGTGAATGCAAATTAAAAGTTTTTGAGGGAAATTAAAATTGCTACTCCAGTGAACACACAAATAACAAGAAAGCAAAATAGCCTTACTGCTGATGTAAAGAAAGTTTGAGGTTTCTGGATAGAAGATCAAACCACCCACAACATTCCCTTAAGCCAAATTGTAATCCAGAGAAAAGTCCTAACTCTTTTCAATTCTATAAAGGCTAAGAGAGGTGAGGAAACCAAAGAAGAAAAGTTGAAGCTGACAGACATTGGTTCATAAAATTTAAGGAAAGAAGCCCTCTTCATAACATAAAAGTACAAGGTGAAGCAGCAAGTGATGATGGAGGATCTGCAGCAAGTTATTCAGAAGATCTAGCTAAGATCAGTGATATAAAATTTACATCAATCTGTAACCCTACAATGCCTTCTTAGTGATGTAAGATCCATGATGACAGTGATTATCATTGATGAAGATATTCTGTAACAGAACGCACAATATCTCTCAAGTATGCGCGTGTGTGTGTGTGTGTGTGTGTGTGTTTGTATTCCCACAGGTCCTATACAGAACAATATATGAAAGGTACTTAGACACAATTTGTATCTGCTACTCATTGGTTTATTGCTCTTCACCAAAAAATGTTACAATTTAGTTAATATTTATGTTAAAATTTCAGAAAATATTTAGTTTCCATAGCAATGTAAATGACCATAATATAAAGTTTCTCAGTCAAATACTTCTTTTTTTATAAAGAAAAAAAAAAAAAGGAAATTTTTGCTTAATGATTCTTTCAGTTTGGATTTCCAAGCATGTAAATGAATGATTTGCAGTCTTTGCAAGTATTGAAACATAAGGCATTTGTCATTTTCATTACACAAGGCAAGAATCTACCTAAATTGTGTGATTGGGAGGGAAGTTGGTACAAATAAAACACTTTCTGGGATCTGAGTAAAGGCAGTGGAAGAGGAACTGAGAAAAAATCTTCGGAGTAAAGCTTTGTGCTGGAGATTTCACCAACCAAGAAAAATGCTTTCAAGTTCTTTTGCAGGACAATTTCCCATTCTTAACCTGCCTGATTTAATTTTTATATTATGGTATATTAATTTTATATTATAATTTAATTTTTATATTGTATTAATTCTTATTGTATTAAAAATATAATTCTTGGCCGGGTGCGGTGGCTCACGCCTGTAATCCCAGCACTTTGGGAGGCCGAGGTGGGTGGATCACGAGGTCAAGAGATCGAGACCATCCTGGTCAACATGGTGAAACCCCGTCTCTACTAAAAATACAAAAAATTAGCTGGGCATGGTGGCGCGTGCCTGTAATCCCAGCTACTCAGGAGGCTGAGGCAGGAGAATTGCCTGAACCCAGGAGGTGGAGGCTGCGGTGAGCCGATATCGCGCCATTGCACTCCAGCCTGGGTAACAAGAGCGAAACTCCGTCTCAAAAAAAAAAATATATATATATACAATTCTTAAACTGTTTTCTCAGTCGAATAGCATATACCTTGAAGTAGGATTTTCAAGAACGTTTTGTGCATGACGCTTTCTGAGCTCCTGCATATGCAAGTAGGTCTGACTTCATCCACAAAAAAATTATAACCTAACCCTATATAATAATGTAAAGACACAGTCTTTTCTCTCAGAAATCAGTAGATACTGTTCCATTGGGCTCTACGGGGAAGTACAATGCTAGCCTGATTTTATCATGTAAATGAAGAAACAAAACTGTAGACTCAGTAATCTTTCCAATGCTTTCTTTCAAGGCTTTGCACTAACTTTTCTTCCTCAAGAACACTTAAAATTATTTAGTAATGTCCAGCCCTTTGTCTTGCACATCCAACATCTTTTTTCTCATCCATTTGAACTTTTTTTCACCTTTCTTTAGCATTTTTGAAGAGTTTATTGTGTTTGCCTTCCATATTACAGACATGATTTCTTACTGTTAAATCTTTTCTTCTGGCTCTGTACATTTAATTTGGCCACTGCATTTTTAAATTTCATTATTTAGTCCATTATGCTTTTCTTCATGACCTTTTTTCTTTAGATGGTTCTCTTTGTATAGATTTCTCATTGTTTCACAATAACTGTATCTTCTTACACTCTACTGAGCTGGTCACTTTTTCCACAACCTTTTCCTTTTACCGTCTTCAGTCTTCAGGATGAATTTTAAAACTCTCCTTTTTGTTATAAAATTTTAAATATTCATCATTGAATATTTAAATAAATTCTAATGATGGGAGATTTATACAGAAAACATATTGTAGAAAGCCAAAGGTATACAACCTGGTCATCACAGTCCCTGGTGAATTTTTGGAATCTATCAGGCTTTTATATCATATGTTTTTGTAGAATTAAAATGTAATTTTCTTCTTTGAACAATTCCAGTTCTAATTTTATCTCTGGCAATGGCACTTCATATTGGGGGACACTGTTTATTTGTCTTTCCCAAAACTGCCCACCAGCCCCTTCCATGTGTTAGCAAAGATTATGCTGTGAAACATATGGGAATAACAAAAAGAGATACAGAGAAAGGCAGAAAGAGAATGGGGTATGTGGATAATATTTTGATGTGTTAAAATAACAACAGTAATGACAGTGCCTGTGCCTACCAAAATTCAATAGCTTATTAGTTTCTTTCTCCTAATTCACTACTCATCTTTCTCCCTTGGATTTGCTACCAATGAATGAAGACAGAGGGGTATTAGTGAGAATGAGGTGGGCTTTGAAAATAGCACTGTGGAGGACTCAAAAGTAGCAGACAAGCAGTAGAAAGACAGCTGCTCATCTTCCAAGAGGTTTCTAAACTAAAGACAGAAGACAGAGGAGGGCACAAGACAGGTCTTTATCTTTCCTCCCTGTTTTCCTAGTTTGCTGAATTTTTAAATAAAGTGGTGTTAATGTTCCATCAACTAAGATTTTCAACCCAAAAATATTAGGCTAAAATTAGTTCTTATGTTAAATACTACATATAGCATAATAATATATGTTAATGAATTTTAGTGTTTTATGACATGTCATTATTTTGTATTGTCTTTGTCTTCATAGATATTTTATTTCATTTATATTATTTTTATTGATATAGTTGTATATATTTTGGGAGTACATGTGATATTTTGATACCTGTATATGTGTAAGTCAGGATAACTAAGATATTCATCACTTCAAAAATTTATCTTTTGTGTGGTGAACATTAAAATTCTTCTCTTACAAGTATTTGTTATTATACAATAAATTATTGTTAACTGTAATTATAAATTTAGTATTGGCTACGTTGAGTGCAGCTATTCTGGAGCCATCTAAAGAGTAAGCCCGAGTCCTAAATTCTTAAGTCTGTTTCATCTGGCAACTCCTCTTCAGTGTTTCTTAGGTCCTGCCTGGCATTTCATGCTTGTCTACTGAGAGTCTTTCCTTATTCTACATAACTAGCCACTGTCTTCAACCCTTCCAGATGAAATGGTGATCATTACATGGCTCTTCTGGGAGTGGTTCTTGGTGTCCAGTGATCTAGAACACAACCATGTTGAGGATGATGACTCTTATATGACTTCCAAAATCCAAATTCCTGTGGTTCTACTGTAATACATAAGCTTGCTTTAACCTTCCAGGTAATTTGTTTTGTCATCTATTGCCTAGTACTACTAGGTAGTTCTAGGTACCCTCATGGGCTTAGGTCAATATGGAATCCCTGGGGACTTCGGAGTCTACCAAAGAGTACAACACTATTAAATAACTATGTGCATTAATGTAAGAATAAGGCAGAAACCTAATTGCTATAAATTTCACACTTTGCTATGGGTTTCAGCAATTATAAAGTGTTAACTTTTTTAAAAAGTTGTTAATTTAATGAGATTTAGAAACTTAACAGTATTTTATATAATGTAGCATTTAGCATTTTTAATGTTATTACAGGTGTGTTTAAAAGGCCGAGGAACACATTGATTAGTCATCATCCAGAGTACTCTTATCAACCAATCAGCTCTCAAATCCTTCTACCTTTTTATAGCAACTGATTTAATTTTGTTGTACAATACTGTCCATTAGCATAGCATATTTTATTCAGTCATCTCAAATAGTTTTTAGACTAATAAGTTTCTGAAAGCCTTGCTACAAATTAGAAGTCCAAAGGAGAGTCAAATAGGAATTACTCCCAAAACAGCAACCATAAGCAGTTGAGTAAAAGACACAAGAATTATTACAACATCAAAGCTCAAATTATTGGCTAGATACCAAGGTATCCACAGAAATATAGCTCAAACCACAAATCAAAGTCACATATATAATGTTAAATTTTCTAATAGCCATATTTTAAAAGTTTAAAACAGAAACAGGTGAGGTTAACTTTAATAATATATTTCATATAACCCCAATATATCCAAGTTAACATTTTGTTATTAAATCATCTGCAAATATGTGCTAAGAATTAAAGATCTGGTGTGCATCTTACAGTGATAGAACATTTCAATTTGGACTGGTCATATCTCAAGTAATCAATAGTTACATAGGACTAGTGGTCACCACAGTGGACAGTTCAGGTCTAGATTTTTATGTTATCATTATGCCTTTAGAAAAATGTTCTAGAGACAAAAATAACTGATAACATGTGAGGTAGTGCAAATGTTAACTGGCTCAATTTAGCTATTTCACAATGCATACATATTTCAAAACATGCTGCAGATTATATGTAGTTTGTCAATTAAAATTTTTTAAAAGACATACAAATAAATAAAATGAGAGATAATAGTTATTTTCTCTTACCTGCACAAATCTTCTTTAATGTGAAGGGAAATCAATTCCTTAGGAATATGAAAAGAAAGAATGCTCTCTGACATCTGCTCTCGAATTCGCATCCACTTATTGTCAGATGTGGGAAATCTATATAATTTACATACTGGGTTCTTTAACACTGGGAAAAAAATAAGAAAAAAAATAGTTAACTTTTAAGCAAATGCATATCAGGTGTAGCCCAATCAACAAAACCATTAATGAAGGTAGCATTTTAATGATTCATTTGATCAAAAATTTCTTTATCAAAATCCATTAGTATATCTACATTTCTAAGAATTGTATTTTGACATTTTGTTTTTTCCAGTAGCTTCTGAGACATATAATCTTTGTTAAATTAAAAAACAATTATACATCAAGCTCCAAATCATAAAGTAGCTACTATTTATGATTTGAAAGCCACAATGGCTACTGTGGGTAATTTACTACCTACTGATTCTTCTCATCTTCTAAAGCTTTACAAAGTATATGTGTCTACAAATACAAATTAAAGTATAAGTATACAACTCTAAACTTTGAACAAATACATTTCTGAATTTCTTCTGATCACTTTTAGTCAACGTTACCTACTTATATAGTAAGTCACAAACTGCAATGTTATTTTGGAAGTTTCAAAAGGCCTTACTGAATGTTACTTCTTACATGTCAGAAAGGTTCACTGATTTGGCTTAAAATCCGTTAAAATTCAAATACCATACATACTTTAGTGTCAATGAGTCAATAACACACTTTCCTGAAACCGTGTATTATTAGAAGGAAGGCAGAGAGACTGTGAAGAAACTGTCTTTAGGGTGGAGGGGAAAGTGTCAAGGTAATGTACCCAAGAATTTTAAAAAAGATTCAGAAAAAGAGTATAGGATTAGATATTATGGTACCATTTGATACTTATTAGTGAAGACAGCACTCACATCACACTTTCAAGCAATCAAGGCAGAATATCATTTCCATTGCTCTTCAGCAGTGAGTGCCTATGCCACACTTAAACACCAAAGCTTCGCGGGCAATAAAATATCAAGTCAGTCACCAGTCAAGAATCTATGATTAGTTGGCTTCAGTTTACAATAAAGCTAATTAAAAACATTAGTTGATATTGAGTCAGAAGGCTTTCAATAATATTGAACACGATATGTGGGCTAGATCTTCTCAATGTACAGGGAAAAATTCTTTTCAAAATTTTAGGGTCTGTAAGACCACCATATTTAATTCACTACTTGGGTAAAAATATATCATTTTGAACACTGAAATAAGGATCTATTCATACATTCCCCTGCAATCATCCATTCTCAAAATTACATACACTCTGGACATTATCGTTATCAAACTTGGTACCACGATGGAAACCTTAATTCCAAACATCCCATTCTTCAACCACCAGATTCAAATCTTCTAGTACACTTACATACTCCTGCCAAGAATTAGATAGCTCTCACTTTTCAACAGTATCAATACACAGAATACAGTACACTATTTCTAGCATGTTGAGAGAAAATACTGCATTTTGAAATCTACAGATGTATGTCCCAAAGATTATCTTTTGAATATAAGCATAATATTTAAATTTTGTCAATCTGGTTTGTTTACAGAATATATACTTAGAGTTCATTATCTTTACTTTCTTTTGCCTTAAATATAAGAACATACAGCCAGTCAATAAAAGAAAATTAAAAGTTTTATTCATTTGTAAAGTGACAGTGTTTCAAAGATGTAAGAATTTTATTATTGCCTCTATTATAGTATCTTTGAAATAGGAAGAGGAAAAAAAATATGTACTAAATTTATTATGGTATCCATATACCAAACAAGAGTTCTCATGAATTCCCAATGTATCTAACATGGTTAGGAATATGAATGCATCGTTTTGTGGTAAGACAAGCTTCAGTCCTTGAAATGGCCAAGTTGTCTGTTATTTAGTGACATACATAAATATTTAATTACTAGGTTTATCTAGGCTCAGTATAAGAGTGATTTTTTAAATTCTATTTTTTTCATGATTCAGAACTTCTGTATCTCCCAAAGCATGGTTAAAAATCCTTGGATTTTGCTTGCCTTTTATACATTAATAATAATTTTTTAGAAAAATTGTATTTTTATTTATGTCACAAAATATAAAAGCCCTCATTTTCTCTGTTGATCTCAAAACAAATCCTTCTACTTTATATTCAATTGTTTTCTTTTCTTTTTTTTTTTTTTT